CTTTCATCAGAGTAGAGGAAACTCACGCCGATGCTAAGGCCGAGCACCAGCTCACACGTGAGCAAATCTTGAAGACTTTGGGTGTTGTAGAAGGAGTTCATGGAACTGTGACGGAGTATAATCCCCAAATTCTTGACATGATCAAGGATGTTCTTAATATGGTTGGTCAGCATTACGAACATTCAAAGAATTCAGTAGAGACAATTCAGGAGAAGATCGCCGAAATTCCTCCTCCACCAGAGATCCCACCTCCTGTCGAATACGATGATACACCTGTTCACGAGAAGCTTGATAAGCTTGTGGATCATGTGCAAGAAGCTGGAAAGTCTGTAGCACAATTGGAGATGCTTGACAAGATACATCGACAAATGCTGTCAACTGCTGCAGAAGTTTCTCAATTTGTCTCCACCCAAACCCAAAAAATTGCAGATGAACATGAAAGTAAGGAACAAGCTGCCGCAGAAGCTGCCATTGCCCTCGAAAGACGTCTAGTTCAAAAGGAACAGGTTGAGGCATCGATTGCTTCACTCAAAGGGGAAGAGAGAGCTATGAAGGAATATATTACCAAGCTTAAGACTGACAAGGAAGATTTGCTTCATCAAAAGATGAGACTTTCTTCTGATGTTTCTAGCTTGGAAACGGCTTTAAGAATCCGCCGTGAAGAATTACAGGAGATGGAAGAAAGAGCCGAAGGTCTTGAGAGACGCATCCTTGAGGGAGTCATTGATCATTCCCGAGCTCTTTTATTGGCGAATGGTAATCGAAAGAAAGCACGAGATCCCATGAGTCGTAAACGAAACCCTGCTCAACGCAATTCAACGGCTCATTCTATCGCCTCGAGTGTCGCTTCAAAAACTCCATCGATTACACAAGGTGCTGTTAATATGGCAATGAAGAATCGCTCTCCTACCAAAGGACCTCAAGCCAATCAGGCACAAAGACGCATTCTATCCCTGAGTCAAATCAACAATAATCTTTCAACCGGTAATTTCAAACGCACTCACAGTGTCAAACAACCCAGTGCTTCTACTCCACGTAAAACCAGCTGGGGAGGAGACTCAAACAAAACCAGCAATTATGGGGAACTGAACAAGGAGAATCTGGCATTGAAAGAGTACGAAGATGAGGATGAAGAAAACAAAGAACTAGTCCATCTTTCTGATCACGAGGGCGGAAATCAAAGCGATTCAAACACGATGAGGAGAAGCAGCCATGGTACTACTGTTATCACTGGAAATGAAGGAACAGAGTATTCGGAGAGTCTTGATGGTGGTGGAAGAGATCGAGATGAGGATAGACATAGGGAGGAGGGATCAGAATCGGATTATGAAACAGAAACAGACTTGGGAACTAATAGTCATTTGGGTACCGAAAGTGAATTGTCGAGTAGTAGTTTGGGACATGGAAAGGGAAAGGACTATAATGCGGTGGTATTGTATGAAGAGGAAGTTGTTTAGTTCATTGGTGGTTGGAGATGGAGATGAGGGAATTGATATGGAGGGTATTGGATTTTATGGAGAGGCTTCTCGTAAGCTACAAATTTATGCGGTAATGGTCTAATTATTATATCTTTCTTGACCCACTTACTCGCTTTGGGAAACGGAGGAAGGGGTGGCTTTTTTTTTTCGCTACAAAGCAGGGGATTACGACAGAACCTACAATATACCCTAGTATGTCGGTTTCTTGATGAAGTCCTGATTGAATTTTATGATTGTTACATTTTTTCTTTTCTATGAACAGCGTTTTAGCGATTAGTATATTTTATATCCTTTTTGGTTGTGGTATTTTCAATTTCAAAGATTCCCTTGCGAAGGCGGTATTCTAGGTATTTAGATAGTAGTAGTATTACAAGTACAATTTTTCTCTTCTCATAACTTCTCTCTTGGTATCATTCATTGCAGGCATTGTGAGTAGAGAAGTGAATCCGTCCCCGTCAGTATCTTAAATACTAACACAATTACTCGCATCGACATAAAACCACCCATACTATCATTCTAAAGTTACTCCCTCTTCAAAACTTTCCTCCCCGCCATCCACGGCCACAAAACTTCGGGCACCCTAACCTCTCTCCTCTTCTCATCCCATCCGTTCTCTAAGACAGCAGCCACGATCCTCGGCACCGCAAGCGCCGTCCCATTAACTGTCCACGGAAATGCAATTTTACCTCCATTCTTATCAATATCAACTCTCGTCGCCAATCTCCTACTTTGATAATCCCCACAGATACTTAACGATGTCACTTCGCCCCATCCATTATCTCTTTCTCTGCGCGAGGGAAAGAAGGCTTCGATATCTATTTTGCGCATAGCTGAGGCACCGAGATCGGTGGAGGGCATTTCGAGGATCCGACAGTGAAGATCGAGGGAGGTGAGGATGGTGGTTTGGAGGGAGAGCATTTCGTTGAATATTTCTGTGGTTTCTGGGAGGGAAGGAGAGGTCCAGGCGAACATTTCGACTTTGGTGAATTCGTGAACTCGGTAGAGACCTTTGGTGTCGATACCACGGGCGCCAGCTTCGGCGCGATAACAGCGGGACGTGGCGATTGTTTTTAAGGGGAGGAGAGATTCGTGGATAGTCGTGTTTGCTTTCATTCCCGCGAGAGGGATTTCGGCGGTTCCAGCGAGGGAGTGTGTTGGTTTTGCAGTTTCGGCATCGGAAGGGGATTGGGCGATGGAGTAAATTTGTTGTTCGTCTGATTGATCGCGGGGTTGGAAACCGCATGCTGATGCGATGTGGGAATAGACCATTGAGGGAGGAGAAACGATGGACCAGCCTTTTGAGAGAGCGAGAGAGAGGGAGTATTGGATTAAGGCTTGTTCGAGGAGTGCGGCGCCATTAAGTAAATAGTACCATCCCCAACCGGAAGTATTGGCTGCAGAGGAAAAGTCAAGAAGATTTAATTCGCTACCTATGTGGACGTGAGACCGCCATACTCGATCTGAGGAGGCGGTTTTGGGTTCGGGATGTTCGTTGATGGTTCCTGTTACTTTTGGTTCTGAGCCGCGGGGAGTGGAATCGGATGTAAGATTTGGAATTGCGGATGCGAGAGTATTGATTTCTGTCATGAGCATCGATTCTGAAGATTCTATTTCGGAGACTTTATCCTTCAAACTTCTAGCTTCTGCGATAATCTCCTCTTTGGAAAGGGCGCGTAACTTTTGAATTTCTTCTGACCCGTCATCTCGTATTGATTTTGGATTTGCAAGTTGGAGTTTTAATTTATTATTTCTTTCCCGTAATGCTCTTCCATTGCGTTGATGTTCGTGCCATTGTTCGAATAAACTTATGATTTTAGCTGGGTATGTTGATTGCACTTTGTAATTCCTTTCTAGACAACTTTTTTCATATAACTCTGGATTGGTTCGTATGTGTTTTATATCGATGGATTGTTTGGGTGCTATGGAGGGTTTAGGTATTTCGGAACGTAAACGTGGAGAGACATGGTATGGACGACGAGGAGATGGTCGCAAGAGGGATTGGAATTGACATCGTAAACACGTAAAACGGTTTATCGTTGACATTTTGGATATTGAGGGGGAAAGGATGGTGGGATGATATTATTTTTTGGAAGCTTAGAGCTAGCTGTTGAAAACTAAGAATATGAGTTGAGCTTATTATTGGGTGAATCTAAAATGCGGGGTTCCGTCGGTCAAACGATTTTCCGACCCCTTCGCCAAAAAAATTGCAACCAACACCAAAAAAACCGTCCTGATGGGACTTTAGATTCAAAAAAGGATAACAAAAACAACGAAATGTCCAAAAATTGATTTCAAGATCGGATTCAAACCGACGGAACTCAGGGTTACTCCCTACGTAGGGCTCGAACCTACAGCCTCAAGATTAGTCATCAATATAGGATATTTGATAGAAGTCTTGCGCGCTACCATTGCGCCAGCAGGGAAATCAGAAGATTTCTTAGTAGATTGTTGAGAAATGCAGTTTTATTTTAATATATGTCTCACAGCAAATTGGCTCGCGTATCAAAAGCCGGGGGTTTCATGCCCCTCATTAAATGACGGTGGTAAAACATGCTTCAGACTACCTATAATCTTTCAATAATCTCACTCGAAATACAAGTCTAAACGTCCATTACATCTTCAAGTTACAATTATATATCGACAGATCTCATGTGAATCCATCGCTGGAGCATTATTTAACTACTAATATTGAGTCAAAACATCACGAAATAACATAAGGCCTACTAAGTGAGTATATTCGAATTTATTATTCCGACGATAGCTTCACTCATGAACTAGATACTTACAAATAAATTACAGAGGAAAAGCCCATACAGTCTAGAATATCATAGGTACACATCTAAATCAAAATATAACATAATTATCTAAATGATTCTTCGAATTTTTTTTTAAAAAAAATGATTAGCTTTCTACTATTGCTTTCCTATTCATTTGAAATTATCATAGTAAATTTCACACCTGAAATAAATCATCACATTATTTAGATAATACTTCTTGAGGTTTCTTTCGACCATTTCTTTATACTCAAGGTCCTCCCGACTGGCGGAGAAAAGCGACGCTCGAACTGAGTATGTTTTCGATCAACCTCACTCTGATCGATGTGTCGGCACACGTCTTATGCTGAAGCTCTAGCTATATTTCGAGGCTCCACATATAGTTACCGTGGTACTCATTGTTCACCAAGCATCACTTCAAGACCAAGTCAAGTAACATGGAATTAAATGCTTTACATGAGTGGACTATGAAACTGCGAGAAGACGGAAGCTTATTGAACCATTATTTCGCGTACTTTATCGCTCTTAAAGTAGCTATTCGATGGAGTTTCATTACTGTGTTCCTTTTACGAAAAAGGTAAAGAAAATGTAAATAAAGGATGAATTCGCGCCCTAAAGGCTACAACGACATGTAGAAATGGTCAGGGGGCGGATATAGGATTAGAGGAGGTGTATGGGAAGTGCGAGAGAAGAGGATAGACGATCCCAAGGGGGGCCAGGATGACCATGGGGAGAGATCTCAAAGAGAAGAGGGGAGGTCGGGACGTACTGTAGGTCTCCTTCTCTGAAAATTTGCTATGTCTCTGTCAAGCGCAAGGGATACAATTTTGCGGCATTGAAATGATTTTTGCATTATATTTTAGTACCACAAGCTTGTTGTTATCAACCTCCATATTCCTTCGATCCCTCTCTCTCTTGCGTTTGTCGATTACAATATCCACAAGAGACTTTGGTCATATACCTCTATTTTTCTGAGTGCGGAGACCGAAGAGAGATTTGTAGTACATTCAAATTATAATTTGCTATCTTTTGATATTGCATGTTCTATCTCATGAATGCTTGAAGTCATGCTTTGGATGAAGTGAGGTTGAACTCGAGCTTAGACCAATACCCAACTACCTACCTGATAGTAGTACGGATTCCGACACACTTCACTTGTCATCTTCAACTTCACCATCACATCATAAAGTTTCCCAACTTCTAAGTTTATACATGGTGAAGCGCTGAACAAAACCAAGTGTGAGAAGCGTGGTACTCAAGCGGGGATTTAAACCGGCCGTCTTCATTGCCTTGGCCTCAAAAAGAGTATCCCCCTTTGTACTTTGCAACAATATAGGACGAGCGTTAACGCGGTCTACCTTTGGTGGCTGGAATGTCTTGCGTAAATGCAACGATTCGATGGTAGGAAATTCCGGGCCAAACAAGCCGCGTTGGAAGGCTAATCCGGTGAGAATAAACGTGAGGTCTAAATGGTATCGAGTTGTCTTGGTTGGAAGGAATTTAAAAGTTCTTTGTGGATCAAATCTCAACTTCCCATGTGGGTCGCGGTATCCTTTAATGTATCGGAAAAGCAGTCTAACTGCGATACCTATAAGATATGTTAGTACCATCGACTGAAGTGGCTCAGTATAATAGACCAACCTACCTCGGTTGCCAGGGGTAATATAAAAATCTACATCACTCCATCTCAAAGTTTCGTCCACAAGGATGTTTCGTTCTGGGTCTGCTTCGTAACCTGCACACACAGTAATAGAGCCAGGGCGAACACTTGTAATGTATGTAACCAGATATGCAAAGTAGTGCTGTTGCAAATTTGCATCTTCTTCTTTCGTGGTGTAGTTGTAGATCACCTCCAACTTGACATCGTTCAGGTTATTCTTCAAATGGCCCTCGGTTGATAGATTGTGATAGATGGCTAACCAACCAATATGGCTTGTAACCGCACAGTGGCACATTGCATAGTCATTCAAGAATCTAGGGATTAATCTGATCGACTAGTGTCACCGAACGGGTTGGCATGCTCGGGGGTGGTGTAAAAAAACGGCGTTCAGCCTCTTCGTCATCGTGCTTGCGTTTGGTCGGAGTGACCCCCCCAACGAAATCCTTTGCATGTTGTGGTGAGAATGAAGGATATGCCGACGAACGCTTTGGTGGGGTGGCTGAGGAGGCGGCAGGGTCGGTCTTTGGCTCAGGTTCGATCTTTGGTTCGGTGGGAGGTCTGTGATGAGGACGTAATATTCCGGTGTCAAGCATAATGTTCAACTGGTAGCGAATGTTCCTATCCAACAACCCATCTCGGGCTTCACAAACGACCTGAGAAAATCGAAGGTAGGTATTGAACGATAAGTTACCTACCCTCTTATCGGGGTGGTAAAGCTTCAATAGTTCTTTGCACACATGGGTTATATCGTCGGTGGTCGCACCGCGAGCGATCCCCAATGTCTGGTAATAATTGTGAGAAATAACGGGGGCTATCCTCTTCAAATTTTAGTAACTAAGGTAGCTTGATTGTGATAATTGATCTCACTTGTTGGTTTGCTGCGCGAAGGCGACAGTTTCCTTCCTGTCGGGGGTGCTTGTTTGTTTCGTGGATGTTGTTGTTTTTTCTAAAAGAAAGAAAACTGGATGTGGGTATTTCTGTAAAGTGATCTTGGCTTGGTTAGCGCTAATTTGAGATTTCGGAAGCGAACTATAATGAAGTTGAAGATGAGACGGAGTGAAGGTGAGGTGTTGGAGAGGAGCTCCGGTCCCGTGACCCTTGGTATAGCAAATATCTCCAAGGGTCACGGGATTGCGCGACATTGATCCCTCCCCCAGGCATGCTATCTCAATATTTAGATGAGCGGATAGTTATATTATAATTAATATATTTAGTTGGAATCTATAAATGTATATTATATAGGGTTATCAATTTTATTTTTGTATGAACAAGGGTATTGTCACGGGTTCACTAGCGTAGTATATTAGCGTAGTGGATGCTTAGTCATCTTTGCCATTATATGGCAAAGTTACATCATATCACTTTCAATCTCTTTGTAGAATATCATATATCCAATCTAATATCTATCCCTTGCACTATAATAGTATATTCTACCTTCTTAAAGGTTCTGTTGCTATATATCAATAGCAATCCGATCTTAACAATAATATTCTGATAGAAACTTTATTTTCGCCCTTATCTTTATTCTTGTCTTTATTTTCATCTTCGTTTTTGTTTTTATTTTTATTTTTGTCTTTATCTTTAAAATAACAAATATATCTGATTTATTATTTATAGAAAATGGAATTCAAATATTCAATAATCTTAGAATAAGTATTCAAACTGTTTTTGCTAAATAGCAATAGCTTGTGAGTAAACTTTCAAGTATCTCCGATCCCGATCTTCGAAACCCAATGCTCAATCTTTTTGAGAACGAATAATTATACTTATATTATTTATATAGTATTATTAATAATTCATTAGAGTCACTTTATAATATATAAACTAGAATAAATATAGATCTGAGCAACAAGCGTACAGCCCTAGCTGATATATGTGACGATTGCATCATTTAGAATACTAAGGTGAAGAGCTAGAAGAGCTCTTTGGAAGGAAGTGGTAATATACAGGATTGTGGATTACATGAGGACCTAGCCAATCCACTAATATAACAGGATCGTTACATTACCCCCCCCTTCTAAAAAGCTTGTTTTTGAACATACTAATAGTATTCTAAATACAATTCTCCAATCCAATTATATTATGATCTATATTCTCTATTACCGCTAATATCTGGTTTATAATTTCAATACTAGTTTCAATATTGTTTATAATATGATTCATAATATTGTTAATCGCTTTGCAAAAGTATATATTTTGCAGTTTTATTGCTTTTGTAAAAAAGGCTTCGAAATCGATAAGAGAAGGTTTCGAGAGTTATTGAAAAATAAAATGAATAAAAGAAAGGAGATTCGCTTGAAATGTATCTCTTGTCGGTAATGCCAATAAAGCAGCAAAAAGTGTTAGTGGAATGTGGATTGGCTTGGTAGATCAATTGAATAAACTACTTTGTTACAGTATCGATTGTGCGAGCGTATTGATACTTCGAATTGATTAGTTTCTGTAGTTTGCATGTTAGGTTTAGAATCTTTGGATTTATTGTTGATAAAGTAAGGAGACTCTAAATAATATGATAGTAAGATATTAGCTTGTTGATAGGTAAGGTTTGCAGGAGTGGAGTTAGGGAGAGGTTTTGATTGGAAATTGTATGAATAGTTGTATCGGGGGAGTGGGTGTGGAAGGCAGTAGGCATTCGGCAAGCGGGCTAGCGATAGGAAGCTTCGCAAAAGCAATCAAGAGCTTAAAAAATTTATATGATCTTAGTATAATGTAACGATTGCATCATTTAGAATATTAAGGTAAAGAGCTAGAAAAGCTCTTCGGAAGAAAATGGTAATATACAGGATTGTGGATTACGTGAGGACCTAGCCGATCCATTAATATAACCGGATCATCACAATATACAAATCTACTTACAAATCCAAATACACTGAATATAGTATTACAAAACTAGCTTTCCTAACTATTACAAAACATATCAGCTCAAATCCTCAACTCATCTATTAACATTTAATGACAAACCTTCAAAAATCTGAAAACCTTTAAAAAAAAGAAGATTAATATAATAATATAACAAAACAAATATCTAGCTTGGAAATAAGGATTACAAATCTGCTGGATATCTGATATCACTATATTTGATACTGAGAAGAAGAAACTTTTGTATATAGCCTCTCTTATCAGAGGATATACACACCAAAAACAATTAAAAGATATTAACAATATTTTACAAAATAACTCGGTCTATACAATTGCCGATTTGTTTCTCAAAAAGCTTGATAGCCTTTATATTACAATCGACTCCGAACAGAAAACAGCGATTCAATTCGATAAACTCAAAATACTAGAGAAACAGGCCTTTACAATATTCTATATATAATTGAAACATTTAAACAATCAATATTACAAATCTGATCGAGAGATGATTTTTGCTTTAAAGCAAAAAGTCTTTGAAGAATTAAAACTCATGATTTGTATAGACTCAAGCCCCTGCGCATTAGATGATATCAAAGAATAAAAAAAGAAATTCACAATTTGGAGCCAGAATTGCCGGAAGAATAATTATTATAATATAGGTTTATCAAAAAACAACCACAATCAACCTCGATTCAATACAACTCCTTTTATACTTACTACTACTCTATATAATAACCCTATAAAGCTTGATACAATCAAATTCCAAAACAAGATATAATAACACAAAAAGAAATACTATCTCGGCCTTTATTATTATTATAAAAAACCAGGTCACTTTGTTTAAGATTGTAATACGAAAAAACAAGCCGATATATAGCGAATAGCCAAAGGATACAATACAGAACCTCTAAGAGAAATATCAGAATACAATCGTAATAATACTAGAAAAGGAAATTAACAATTCGGCCGAGACGGACAATATCGAAGTAATAGCAATTACAATCAGAATGACTTTTGGGAATATAACCATCAATAACAGTTCTTGTTGGTTCAATAATGAGATCAGGAATACGGGAGACGTGGTTCCCACTATCATTAGTAGGCCCCTAAATGTCTGTATTGTATTCTGTCTAAAGAGCTAGCTAATGAGGGGAAATAGTAGGCCTTATATAAGCACTACTGAAAAAGCTAGTCTCCTTCACATTCACCTAAATATCTTTGATATAATAGTTATTATATTGAAGTCATTCTTTTGAAATGAATTCCCTTATTCATATACTCAGAACTCTCTTTTATAGCTTCAAATACAATAACTAAAAAGAAATTCGTAAAATCATAAAAATCCTCCATCTGTTAACTAAAATCCCTAACCTTTTACCAACAAAACCAATCCCTTTCTTTAATTCTGTTCCACCCACTTCATTATTTTGATATTGATTTTATTCATATTAATTAGATCAGCAAGAGCTTAATATAGCTTTCCTTTTATTATCGCATCGGCCGAATTAATTAGATTATTAATCCAAATCACTTCAACAATCTTTTTTTTGCTTATAGAATTGATATAATACCATAATATCGATTATTAATCTTTTTCTTTTTGGATTTCTTATATATAATAGAATTCTTAGAATCAGCAACAAAACATTCGGAATAGTAATCTTGTATATGAGCTTGAATCTGAAGTATAACTATTTGCAAGAAAGATATTGATATAAGCATCTAATTATTCTTAAATAAATCCAAGAAAGGTTTCTCTGGATTTGTTATATATGTAATCGCTGTTCTTGAAGGAGATAATATAACTTTATTGGAATTTGACAAAGTTATTTTAGAATTAATATCATAATCCCTATCCCTATTATCTTTATTATTATCTCTATTGCTATTATCACTATTTCTATCATTATTACTATTTTAACCACTACCCCAATCATTATCATCATCCAGATCATTACCATCACCAGGTGATCCTGCAGGAATATCAACCGATAGAATTCTAAAGCCTAATTCTAATGCTGGTAAAGATACACATGGGATTTGTATATCCCCAGATTGGAATAGAGCTAATCCTCCATGTATATCAAGAGGAATAATCGAACCACTTGTAATTTTGCCGGGTTTTGGTAAAGTTAGGTAACCAGCTGGAGTACTATTCTGAGGTTCGATGAAAGGTTTGGTTTGTAATCTCGAACCGAGCCCGACAGGAAGGTGGGCCTATTTCGTAAATACAAATGATTGTATCTCATTAATCTAATATTCCAGAAGTTGATCTGTAGTTCAATCGTAATACTCTTTATAGAGAAATGCTTTTATTAAAATATTATCGAGATTTACATTTATATTGATATAAACTTTATAACATTGTAAGACTTTACAAAAGTCATATAATATCAATTTATCAATGCTTCTGAGTAGAGCTCATCAAATAAACTCGAAATCGAATGTAATTGTGTTTTGAAGAAATGTGTTAGTAATTCTTGTATTTGAGTATACAACCATTCAAAAAAGAAAGTATCCATCGATCTGATATTCTGTCTTTATTTGATATATATCCTTTATAGAACTGTTTAGTTTTATTGAGATCTTTGAAAAAGAATAATTTTGAGATTCTTCTTTGAACTTTAAATCCTTAATAGTTTTCTGAGTTTTTTTTTCTTCAGTTATTGCTTTGTCAGGAATATAGGGATTGAAAGGAGTAGGAGGATGAGGAGGAGTATTGGTTATATCTTTATAAAGAGAAATCTTGAACTTTTGTTGCAGAGAATCAGTATCATCAATTATTATATTGATAAATCCTTTTATGCCGATAAATTGATTAAATAGAACAGGTTTCTTGTTAGCATCAGGTTTTTTGCTAGCTTGCTTAAAGCTAATGCTAGTGTTTACCCGGGATATTATAATACTAACAACAAAAAATAAAAGAAATAAAAGTGAGAAAATATTTCGAATAAATAAGTTAAGTAATTGTAATATCACTAATTAGTGTTGGTTCAATAATAAAATCAGGAATATGGGAGATGTGATTCCCATTATCATTAGTAGGCCCCTAAATGTCTGTATTGTATTTTATCTAAAGAGCTAGTTAATGAGGGGAAATAGTAGACCTTATATAGGCACTACTGAAAGAACTAGTCTCCTTCGCATTCGCCTAAATACCTTTGATA